GCTGCAGTTGCCACACCACTGTATTTGTCATATTTCCCATGAGTAAAACCAAAAGCAACCTCGCCTTTTGAAGCATTTGTATCAGCAGCTGGCTTTGGGTGGAGCAAGAAAACTCTGAAGAAGACAAACAGTTTAACCCTCATCACTGCGAAGGTATCGGAAGGAGGACAAGCATTTAGCTGCTGGCCTCCCCAAAAGGTCAACTCTTGTTCTGAGAGACTCTCTGGGTAAATTCCAATGCAGGCTAAACAGGCAAGTTTGGAGCTTCTGTGCAAATTAAGTCAGGTTACATTTTAAGTTTGGAAAGTTACCAGTAGACAGAGCTTCTGCTTTGCAAACTTATGGGAAAATGCTGTAGAAAACACTGGGCACTACAATGTTGTAGACGTGAGTACATTGGCAAGGACGGTTTACCATGAGACCTTCTGTTAACACTGCCCTCCCTATCCTTGCAGGATCGCCACACATTTGTAAAGCAGGTCCATACTAAACTAAAGTGAAAAAACATGCACCAAATTGTAGGAGATCCTGAGATGGATCTATGCTAAATTATCAGGGCCAGCATCGTATCAGCAGTACAAAAAAGATGCTTTCTGTTCCTTGGGAAGACAGCTGTCTCTGTAATCTGTTTCCTGTTCGGCCTGTGGAGTTGCAAGCTGCTAAAGGTACCTTTCTCCTGGGTGTAAATATTCACACTGAGCAGTGCATGGGTTCCCACTCAGCTTTCCATTGCTATATAAGCTGAGGCCATCACGGCTAGAGGAAGCAGCAGTCAGTCACCTCTTCCCTGTGTGCAGATAAAGCTCCAGTCAAAAAAATCCCCTCTCCACACACCCTCCTGCTGCTAAATGGTGCTACCAGGACTGTCAGGGGGAGAGGAAGCAGAAGCCATTCCAGCTTTTCCATGAACTGCTGGACTGAACTGCTGCAACTAAGAATATAGTCCCTGAATGTGCTTTTCTCCTCCTCCCTCCCTATCACCCTTCCTTTTGTGTCATGTCCTTTTGGCTAAACAGCAGAATAAAATGCTCTACAGAATTAGTTATTATGAAGAAAACGGTTAGCATAGCATAATGTCTTCATAAAGATTCACAGGAACAAGAGGCAAAGGTGGGGGTGTTCAAAATGATGCAAACTAGTCATTATCAGAGAATCCCCCAAGGCTCAAGGCCCATTCAGAAAGCTTTCCCAGGAGAGTCATGTTATAGAAGTCATACAGAGAAGCCTTAAAAATACCCACCAAGGAACAGCAGCTTTTACCAATCCTGTATGTGTATGTCACAGGCCTGTGCAATGGGCCTCCTCTCTCATGTAAATGCTTTTACTATCTCTGGCAAGAAACTTACACAAGGCTGATATGGCCTGCCCCATCTTGGGAGCTCTACAGTGATCATGACAATTATATCTAGCCAGTTTTTTTTCCATTTCTAACATTACTAACCTACAGTAAATTTCATCAGTGCTCCACATATATTTTCCTTGCAATGACCATATAAGACTGGGTTGATATAACCCTAGGCTGTTATATGCCTACTTCTATTACAGATTGGAGGGCTGAGAAATAGGGAGATTGCCCCAAACCACCAAATCATTGTGAAGGTGACTTCCTTGCTGAGACCGAACTTTCTTAATTGTTGTGTTGTAACATGTACAAATATAGCCGCACAAGTTCCTCTTTGGAACAAGTGCCACAAGTTGTTTGCTGGGCAAGAAGCTGGTAGTGCTGATGTGTATCTTCCACAGTGAAGTCGCTCAGTGTCATTCCTTTATGAAATATCTCATACATTTTATATTTCCTGTGTCTGAAATTTACTGGTACTGTATGCCCATATTTCTCCTGAATGTAAAGATATAAAAATGCAGACCCACTGAAAGATACATACTGATTTCTCCTTAACATCAACATTAATATCCTGAGGGGGAAAAGCACCCAGTGGGATTGATCCAGACCTAAAAGGATGCTATTGAACAGGCAAAAGCAGTCTTCACTGCTGCTGTAGCTCTGGTAACCCCCTGAAATTGCTGTGCAGAGGGCTGAGGGGACCAGCAAAGCTGAATGAGGTAAGCTGAGATAGGAGAGGAGGAAAACCCTGAAAAACCAGGCAGAGTCAACTTCTGTGAGCAGAGCATTTCCATCCACAGAAGGCAAATCATGGATCTCAACCTATTCTCTGGTCATACTTGTGGGGAACCATGCCATACAGCAGGGATGCAAAGCTGAAAGCCCAATGTGAGGGTCATGCCTCCTTCCTCCTTCTCCCTGGCTGACACCTTTTCCTGGAACCATCAACAATTGGGTGTTTTTTTAATTTCTCCCCCATTCTAAAAGTGGCATTCTCTCTAAGACTGAGTTACTGACAGTAAGGGCTTTAAGCTGAAATATGCTAGCATTTCAGACATGTTTTGCCCTGTCCTCTTTGCCATCAGTCCCCCCATCACTGAAACGCAGCTCCTAAGAGCTTCTCCAAAATGAAATGTGGCACTCAGACTGAAGGAAGTCCTCGTAATAAAGAAAGCTACATTCAGTTTTCTTCACTAGATGAAAAAAGACATCTAGTGTTATTTCTAGAACACTAGATGTCACAGAAGCAGAGCTGGTTGTATAAGTAAGGATCCAACTCAAATATCTAGAAAGCAGGATTGGAGAATATTTTTTCCTACTTAAAAAACAAACAGGTATGGAATGAAAAGCTTTCCTTATGCTGACTGCTTTTTCCTACAGTCCCTCTTTCCACAAGTATTTCTCTCAACCAAACCCATACTGGTATCAGAGTTCAGCTGAAAAGAAAAGCACCACAGAAAGATACTCACACAACATAACAACCCACACTCAATATTGGGTGTAGACTGTCACTGAACCACGGGTTGTTCCAGCTGCATTAACAAGCTATGGTTTGTTAACTGTTGTGAACTGGGTTGTGCGGCCTGGTTTGTCAGGTCATTTGCCTAATTACCTGCCTGGGCATCATTTGCATCATCTGAATGGAAGCAGCATAGCTTGTCTGAGGGACAAACAATCCTCCAATAACTTAACAACAGGCCATGGGTTATCTGAGGACTGTTTCCTCTTCATACAAGCTATAATGCCTGGGCAACAGAAGCAGGTCATTAGGGCTACAGGGCTTGTCAGGCTGTGCAGCTTAAAGCAAGCCACTATGGCCTTTTAAAGCTGTAGTGATCATGCAACCCAGTCCATTATGAAGGTGTAGTCTGGGCTGAAGCACGATCTCATCCATACATTCCTGTTACTTTCACAAACACACACACACATATATATATTTCAGAAGAGAAATAATAAGTGTTTATTACTGAACTGTGCCTACAAAAATGAAAGAAAGTTAATGCTGAATATAGCGTATTGGAAAGCTTTTCAGAAACAAGACTGCAACTAGATTGCCATACAGCATGCAACAGGTTCCACACTACTTTTAACTGGATATTTAAAATATGCAGAATTCTGAAGTAGCTATTATTTTTTCTTAAATGTTTTCCCTGAAAAGAAATATGCAAAAAATATTCAGTGGGGTCTTAGTCGCAATCCTACTCACTCTTAACTTACCATCTCTGAATTCCATGGGCTTTTAAACATTGCATAGTGTGTGTCCATTACAGATATTATATATACACCTATATATCTCCAGATCTGTATAGTTATGAACATTTTAAAGGGTAAAATAGGTTTTTAGCATCTGTACAACAAGGAATATGTAAAGACAATCAGGTCAAACAGTACCCACAAGAAAATAAAATCCCCTCACTGGATATGTATTCAGACACATTGTTAAAATGTTGCTACAGAATGTTTTGGCTATGAAAGCAACAGGTCCATCCAATTGGTGGGGGGGGGGGACCAAAACATTCTAAAATATTATGGGGTTTTTTATTGGCTATATTTGTAGTTCACTCTCTCATGTGCTGATCATTTCAGCAGTCTAGGATTTCCACAGCATGACACCAGAAGCGCAGACCATTTCATCTGGGTAAAAATTACATGCCAAATATTAAACAAACAACCTCCACAGAGAATTCACTTCTGCTGTTACATTAAATGAAGCCCTGCATGAGGGTGTGTACACATGCACAAACACGAGAGGATTCCTGTTCTTCTTTTCATAATTTTAGGATTTCTTCACATTGCCACATCGGCTTACCACTCGACCAGGAGTCCTTGTGCCATTCACACTGACACAGGAGAAAACCAGGAATAAGTCTATTCACCTTCCTGCCCCGCAAAACCTCCTGAGAGAAGCCTGATGTAATGCTCTGTTTCCAATTGGAACCCAGCTTTTTACACACACACGCAAGCACACACACTCCCCAGCAAATCAGGAGATTGTCAGAACCCGATAGGAACACAAATGGGAAGGGGTGTGTGAGCGAGATGGAGGCAGGAAATCAGCCAGAGGAAGATAAACAAGCATCTATGAAACCCTTATTAAAATCCATGTACCATCCCCACTCCGCACCGCCGCCTCTAGACACGCACACAAAACACAGGGAGGTCTGTATAGCGTGCCTTCAATTAAATAACCGTAAGAGGCACACCCTCTGATCCGAACTGACAAAATAATTCTCCTCCTGTTTCCTTCTCCCTTCAGTCCCTTTCCGAAAACACACCGAACTGAGCGGGAGCGGACCTCGCGGAGGGAGAAGGCGAGGAGGAGGAAGGGAAGCCTCGTTTGGTTCAAAAGTTTAAGCGGGGGGGGGGGTGAAGCCCAGGAGGTCTGCGGCGGGGGGAGAAGAAAGAGCGATAGATTGTATCGGGAATCGGCTGGCGATGCAAAACATCGGAGGAACTGCTCAGCCCGCCTGTCTGGGTGTCTCTCCCTGTTGCAACAGTCATTGCCCACTTCCTGTAACCGAGAGAGACGGGGAGGGAGCGGGAGAGAGAGAGGGGGGCTCCTTTCCTGCTTTCCCCTGCCATTAAGGCGAGGAAGGCTACTAGCCCCCGCAAAGGGCAGGCGGGCAGTGCCTGCCGAAAAGCCAGCCCGATCCCTTACCTGGATGTAGTTGCTCTCGCAGTAGTCGGCTACCCTGGTGAGGTTCTGGTAGCTCTCGAGCAAAGCCCGCTTGCCAGAAGGGATTTCCTCTTCTAGTAACATCTGCAGCTCTGCCATTTTCCACCCCTCCGCATCGCTTCCTCTGGCATTAAAGAGACAGCGGGAGCTACACAAGCTCACCAACCCGCCTGGTATTGTGGGATTCCGCCTCGCCTCGCGTTCGCCAGGGAGAGATACTTCGCTTTCCCCACCCACCCGCTCGCTCCCTCGCCTTGCTTCGCTGCCTGGCTTTGCTTCCTTCCTTCTCAGCCGCCGTCCTCCTCTCCTCCTCCTCCTCTACAGGAAAAGACGGTCGCAAGGCATGGTGGGAGATGTAGTCATAACCCTTCCTTCTATTCCGTGTGTTAGCCCTGCGCTTGGGCATGGCTCCGTTTCTTCAACGAGTTAGATCCGTATGTGCACGCACAGAAGACTTGCCTAAAAGCAGAGTCAGAAAGTTTGTCGTGTAAGTGAAAGCATATGACAGAGATATTTTCACTGTTTCTTCGAGTGTGGCAAAACAGGCATTGCCCCTATACACCGAAACTATAGCTGCTGAAAGTAAAGAAAAAGAACTAGAGGAATGAGACAGCTGCTATACTCCTTTAAAGTGTGCCTAGTCCTTATTGCATAAATGTCTGTGTCTCATAACTAGAGCACGGTGTGCCCACCCAAACCTCCTGACAGATGTTTCTGACACTGCATTTTCAAACGTGTTTTAAAAACGTACACAGATGCAGCCACGAAATATGGTTATGCACCCCAATCCTGTGCACAGTTTAGCTACAGTTTGCACCTAAATCTATAAAAATCAATAGGCTTTCTGCATGCTTAACTCTGAATAGGAATGCAGTGGAATATGTGCCTTTATGTGGCATTTAAAAGAAGGTTCAAACAAGCAAAGCTTCTGGATATTGATATAATCAAAAATTACAAAGTTACCAGTTTATGGTTTCCTCACCTTGCCTACCCCAACAGTGTTTTTATTTATGAATTTCAAAACACAGACAAAGGGAAACAAGTCAGAAGCAGCTTTTATCAGCACTAAGGGATAGAACTAACAGAGTGGTGCAGAAAAAGTGCAGTGTCAGGATTAACAAGCAGCAATGCATTTGTCTTCTTCACTTCATTTCACCCCACTTGCAAACACTGTCACACTCATTTGCTGTAAGCTGCCCAGAGAGCCTCATGGCTAATAAGGTGGCATATAAATTGAATAAATAAATAATAAATAAAGTCAACGACACAAACAGTACCAAATGCTACTCTCCACTTTGTCAACGCACCCAAAGGTTTTAGGCTCCAATTCACAATCCACCTACTTCACTCGAGTTCAAGTGTGCCATGGCCAGAGCAGGGGCAGGCAACTTCCCATAAGCTCCAGTGAACCTGCCCAGTGGTCTAGGATTGTTCTCTGGAGGGCACAAAACTGCCGTCCCCAGGCTGCAGTAGTGGACGAGGATTGGGGAGACCTTGATGAAAATCCCAGATCAACCATGCTGCTGATTGCACGATCTGGGGCCAGTTGCTACCTGTTACCCTAGCCTACCCTGCAGGGCTGTTGTGAGGCAAGGGCATTTTCCCTGAGTTTCCTGCAGTAAGGGCAAATGAAGTTACACCTGAGCCAAACCCACACTAAGTACGTGGGTTGATCCAAGGGAAAAGTCAATTAGGGCTGCAACTGACAGGGTTGGTGCCAGAGCCAGTGGGGGAAGAGGCTGCAGGGGGGCACAGTCTCACTGGCCCTTTTTTATCAGCAGGAACACTGACATTATCTGCCAGCACCATGCCAGACTTCCCTGTTTCATCTGAGCTTGGCTGCAATCCTCACCCTAGCTGAGCTGTGGGAGGATTGGATTTTCTAAGAACAATATATGGTTCCCTGTTGTGTTGCTAAGTATTCTGGAGTAGCTTGGTCTTGAATGGGCAATTAAAGTCCATTAGCTTCATAAAAGACCTGCTCCTGTTGGACAGGAAAACTTAGCTGTCACTTTGATATGGATCAACACAGCCAACAGAATTTTTACAATTCGCCTAGGGGGCCTGGCTGTCATGGCCCAGGGGGGCTGGTATGCTGAGAGCCTGCATTTCAGCATTTATCACTACTGCAGTGCCCAGCAGCGACTGGTAGCTGCAACATCAATGAGGTGGTTTATCCATGCCAATCTCAGTCTGAACAGTAAAAGAATTATCCACGGTGCTGAACCCATTTGGGCTAGCATGAAGCACCATGGATAGCACCTTAAAGGTTTAGACCGAAACCTGGAGAGGATATGCTGCTTCACTGACACTGGAGCCTCTGCAGGCCACACATCCTGTTTACGCAGCCCACTGGAATTTACGACATTGTAAATCTTGGCTGAGGGCCAAAGTTTCCCCTTCAGTTCTAGATGGACAAGCTCACCATATCCCCCCCCCAGCATCAAACATGACCAAGACTGCAGCTGATGGGGAGACTAAATATACATCTACTGATTTTTCCAGGTCAGGACTCAGCAGTGCAGCCAGGGCTGGATGTTGGGGCCCAAGGACAGGACCCCAGAGCCCATGAAGCCCTCAGCTGAGCACTCAGAAACCAGCAGATGACGAGGGCATCAGAAACACTTTATTCCTACAGTCATTCCTGTGGTGCAGTAACTTAAAATGCAAAACTGTACATGCTCAGAATAGAATGGTTCCAATTTTTAAATCAGAGTTTAAACTGGCAGGAAGCAGGGTGATGGGAAAGTTAGAGTGTTGGACTGGGAACCTGGGAGATCCAGGTTCTAGTCTCCACTGGGCCAAATCCACAGGTTCAAACTAAGCTACTGTCAGAATCCCAGAATCTCAATTCGAGAAGAGGAAATAAAACTCGGGTTCATGGGAAAGATCAAGCATCCAGACCATCTTGGCTTTATTGTATTACCCAGGTTCCTGCGGTAGACTCACGATAATGCATTACTGGGCAGGCAGAGGTGAACTGCTGCCAAGTTTCAATACCATTACAGGGCATTTATACCCTCCCAGACATGTCACAGATACAGGGCAATGACAGAATGCAGGCATTACAATAAGGTTCTGAGGTCATCACATACAGAACAGATAAAGGAATGTCAATCATACAGTGACAATGAGATTACAATATTTCTAATTGCAGTGTATTGACACTTTAGTTGAGTAACTTGAACCCATCTCCAGGTCTGCTTAGACATGTAAATTCAAGCTACTGAGAAACTATTCATGAACTCATAAGCTTATCTAGACTCTAGACATTCTGAATGACCAGGGCACATGAAGCCCTCTGGGCTATCAAAAGATACTTCCTGGTGAACTGTGAATTCCAATGCCATTTTAAACAGTGACTTAGGTTGGTTTGAGCAGGAATACAGGATTAATTCTACAACTGCAAAAGCACACAGAAGCAATACTTTTCTGACAGGATTTATCCAATTTTTCCCAACACTACTTCACAAGGTTGTAGCTGTTGAAAGGATAACAATGAATTGGAGGAAGGTTCTGTATGTAACCTTGTGTTCCTTAGAAGAGGAACCCTTTGTTTTTGTTGTCCTGTCATCAGGAGTGTAGAAACGGGACAGCAGTGGTGTGGAGGTGATGTGTGAAAGGCAATGGTGTATGTCATAGCTGAAATAGTGCATCTAAAGTTCATGCATGCATGTGAATGTACACATGCACAATATTAAAGTCCAGCATCTAAAGTATCTTGGCTGCCCTACTGGTAGTGATTTGCATACAATTTGGGGCAGGCAAGAGGTATCAATGCAAAGTGCTGCTTGTGTAAAAGATGGCTGCATGCAGCTACTGGAGAATGACTAATTATCTCCATGATCAAAGTCACTTTTGCCATTTGGCCACAATGCCATGTTTTGTGGCAGCTTCCCACCCCCACCATCCAGGGAGAGGAGCAGTTCCTTTGCAGGAGCACCTCTTTGCTACAAGCTCTGTCGCTGCCCACCATGCTCCCAAAAGGCCATTACAGTGAGGAAAAGGCTACTAGCTAGTGAGAACCATCCCAGAGACAATACTGTCCCATGAAACACAAAGATCTGTGTCTGACCACTTAAAGCTGAAAGCCAGTGAAAGGGGTTATATAAAATGCTTCAGTGCAAAAGAGATACGACTAGTAATTCTGCCATCAATATGCCATATATACAAAAGTATACTTCTACATGGGACTGGAAGAACTAAAACACTTACATGTGAAAAACAATAAGTAAACGGCATTTTGCCGGCAATAGAAGAAAACAGAACACATTTTTTCATTCATAAATGTCAAGTAGGCAAAAGGTATACTTGAAAATAGGGCATATTCAACTGGAAACAAAATGCTAAGTAAAATCGCAGGACCCTGCCATGTCATGGGTGAATGATAAGGGTACAAACTGGCATAGCTGTCAATAGTTCTCATTAGAAGGGAACGTAAGACACATTATGCCAGTGCAGATGGATGATCAACATGGATACAACCATGGCAGATCATGCCCTTTAGATTTAATTCTCTGTATGTGAGATGGCATAGCACAAACCACTTACAGAGAAGTAGCCATATTAGTCTGCAGCAGCAAACTTGAACTGGTCAGGAAACTGGATTCTGCTTAGTTTGAGTCAGAAATAATGTTTCACTCACTACAGCTATCATCTGACTTAGGAAACAATCCTGTGGTCCTTAAATTGCATCTTGAGGGGTTACAGGATAGTTCAGATTCCCATATACAAGGCTGGGGACAGTGCTCCAACCTCCATCCCCCTCGCTGACCCCTTCATAGCCAGCATGGAAATAGCCACTCCTGTTCTCCAGCTGGGCAAAATAGCTCATCTAGCAAAGAACGTGGGTGTGAAACATGAAGGTGAAAGTCACCTCTGACACTCCTCCTGCTCTGCACTGGATGGCTGTAACCCTCTGAAGTTATGGACAACACCATAAGATTGTGCCATTAGCCATACTACTGTAAATTGTCACTTTGCCTATCTTAAGCTGTACGCAGATTTGTCACAGGTTGTACTTTTTGCATTTCATTCCAAATTGACCAATTTTACATGGTATATGCAGCCCATTTCTGAGCTGTGAGAAATTTCAGAGGTTTAAGCAGTTACTCAGCATTCATGTCTTTAGAAGGAATTCACTGCTGGTGCTTTGTGAAATAAAGTTTATTTACACATCCATGGCCTGAGCATATGATGCGCATTCACAGCATTACTAGATTTCTGTTCCCTATCAGAGAGCTGGAAGAACCCATTGTGTAACAGGATT